CCCACAGTTCCTTTGAAGACCTGCCCAAAGTGTCAGAAGCCTCAGGACTGACTCCCGTCAGTCCCCCAGTTTTCAGGGCACAGCAGGGGGGTGAACAAAGTTCTTGTCTGCCTCTCTGGTGACTATTTCTATGGTTGGTTGTTCCTGTAGTGTTGACAATCGAACCCATGGCCTCGTGCCTGCTAGGCAAAGCCCAGCCCAGCTCATCAAAACTATTTTGATACATAAAAAAAAAAAAAAAAGTCACCTGTAAAATTGTTTCTGCAGAGGAATATTGCAACAGCTAGCTTTGTGGGTTCTCTAGACGTGCTCTTCGTTTAACCTGATGAGGCAATGTATGTGGAGGCTCCCTCAGCACCCCGCCCCTCTTGTTTCTGGGGCATGTGTCTGGGGCAGGTTGACTTTTCCACGACACGCCTGGGCCCTGAATGGGATGGGGAGGGAACCTCAGCTGTGTGTGGTCAGCAGGCTGATCGTGGGGGGAGGGGGGAGGCTTACAGAGCTGACAGGCCAGTCTTGGGCAGGGGTGCACATCGGGAGGCAGGAAGTGGAAGAGAAAAGACAGGAAGGAAGGAAGGAGAGGAAGAGAAAGCGTGGTGACATTGAGCAGCTGACAGCTGACTTCTGGAGTTGAAGGCCAAAGCTGGGTCTGGTTTCTGGAAAAACTAGCTCCCTAGTTACGCCGAAGTTGCCCATAGCACTGACCTACCATGGGCATGATGTCATTGGCGCCAAGTGCCAGACCCTGCAAGCTCGAAACCCCAGCCTAATGGTGGAGCAAGGTCCTGTCTAGGCTTCAGATAGATCTGAGGATGGGCCTCTAACCTCTTCTGACTGGCCTGCCACACAGGCCTTTACTCCTCAGACAGGGAGGGTCACAGGTTCCTTTCCCATGTATGTCTGTGTCCCCACCACCACCCCGAAAGCAGAGTCTCATCATTTAGGTTTGGAGCCTATGTAACTTGTCCGAGTGTCTTGGGGAGAATTGCTGAGAGCAGATGTGAGACAGAGCCCTTCTCAGAGGAGCTCTCAAAGCAAATCCCCACCTCCCCCCCCGCCAAAGCAGGGCTCCGCAAATGTGTTTTAAGGGATTTTGCTATATTAATATCTATAATACACGTCTACTACACACTCCAGTGATGACAGGCACTGTGCTATTATGAACATTTTCCTACTTTCTCTTTTCAAAGAAGTAATTGTAAAAATTCTTGCTGTTTGGGGCAAACTTAAATGTACACATGTATGTTTATGTATTCAGCAAAGTCCATGAAGCATGTAGCTCGACACCCCTATGTTTCTTATTGCTACTGAAATAAATTGCCAAAGAGTCAGTTTCTGTTCTGGAGGTGAGAAGTCCCAGAATGAAGAGGTTGGCAGATTTTAGAGGTTCTAAAAGAAAGTCTATTTCCTTGCCTTTTCTAACTCTGGGCGCTACCTGTACGACTTGCCTTGTGGCCCATACGCTGGCGTCAGAGTCAGCCATGTGGTGTCTCCCTAGCTCCCTGTTTTTAACTCTATTGCCTCCTCTAGTACGAGATCCACTCTACCCATGAGTGTAGATGAAATTCTAAACAGTCTTATTAAATAAGAAACAGAGCCCAATGCAGAGTTAAAAGCCCAGAGATCAGAGCAGGAGCCAAGAGCTAAGACCACCTTAACTTACCACTGGCTGTAGTCCTTCCCCTGAGAAAGAGACCTGCTTCCTGTGTCCTGTCTTTTTATTGCCTTTCTGTTCTGCCTTCTCATTGGTTCTAAACCCAACCACATGACTTCCTCGTCACTGCTTGTCTATACAGACCTCCAGGTCTCTATGGTTGGCACTGGGATTAAAGGCGTGTGTCACCATGCTAGCTGTGTCCTTGAATACACAGAGACTTTGCCTGCCATGTGATGGGATTAAGGGCGTGAGCTACCACTACCAGACTTCTGCTTAATGGCTTGCTCTTAGCTCTGATCCCCAGGCAACTTTATTTATTAACATACAAATAAAATCACATTTCAGCACAAATAAAATATCATTGTACATGCAACTTTCCGTATCATTAACCATGCTTGCAAAGTTCCCTTTTCTGTGTGAGATGATGTGTTATAAGGGACTAACACTGAACTTCTTTGTGTGTGTGTGTGTGTAACAATTGTTATGGCCATAATGGCCATAATGTACATTTTATAAGTAACTACCCCTGTGTAAACATGATGTGGTTGGTCCATAGGACATTGCCAGAATTTCAGAGCCTCTTTGCTGGATGATTTTGAAAACTATCAGGAATTTTTCAATGATTTATGATATTGATTATCATTAGTTAGAAATATAAATTTTCAAGTGGTGGCATTCATCTTTAATCCAAGCACTCAAGAGGCAGAGGCAGGTGGATCTCTGAGTTTGAGGCCAGCTTGGACTACAGAGTGAGTTCCAGGACAGCCAGAGTTACTCAGAAAGACCCTATCTCAAAAAAAAAAAAAAAAAAAAAAGTTCAGTAAGAAAGAAAGAAAAGAAAAAAAAGAAAGAAAAAAGAAAGGAAGAAAAGAAATGTAAATTTTTATAAGACATGTGAGCCTGGGCTAGTGCTCATGTAATTTGATTAGAGTATCTTGTCTAATCCATAGTATGTCTATGCATTGGGCCCCTTTTGGTTTTGAGCTCTGGGCTGGTAGATGTGTGAAACCCAGGGAATGATGTGCAGACTTGGACACCAGAGCTGGGTGTGTCTGGTGTTCCTCTTCTGTCTGGCTCCATTTGGCTCCATTTTATCATGTCTGTTTTAGGAACGGCATCAACTCCAGCTCCAGCTCCTGGAACATGAAACAGAAATGTCGGGGGAGATTGCAGATTCTGACAAGGACAGGTGAGGCAAGCTGGCCTTGGACTTGGAGCAACTCAGAGGTGGATACACACATTGTGTGTGTGTGTGTGTGTGTGTGTGTGTGTGTGTGTGTGTGTGTGTGTGTGTGTGTATGTGTGTGTTCATGCACACAGAGGCCAGAGGACAATGTCTGGTATCCTGCTCTTACCACTTTCTACCTTATTCCCTGGATCTAGAGTCTCTCAGTGAACCAGGAGCTAGGCTGGAAGCCAGCAAGCCCTGGTCACCCTTCTGTCTCCCCTCCTACAACACCCTACCCCACAGCCATGCTCAACTTTTTGCATGGGTATTGGGGATTTGAACTCAGGTCTTCATGCTTGCCCAATAAGTCCTCCTCCCCACTGAGCCATCTCCCCACCCCCATGTGCCCTGTTTGGGCTAGCTCATTTGACTCTTGTGTTTTCATTCGCGTGGTCCTCACTCAGTACCGACCTCTGTAGTCACTGTGACATTGGCTGAGAGCACCCAGTGTGGCTCCAGTTTCTTCAGGAGCTTACAGTCACATCTCATTGCCCTAGGCTGGCTGTTAGTTCAGCGGGACACATCGCAAATGGCCACAAACACAGATGTTCAGTCTGGGTGTGCTCATGACCCTGAGCATCACAGGATGCACCTCGTTAATGAGATAACTCATCAGCTGTGACTGATACCGTTTGTCCTGGAAATTCATTTTAAAGTGTTGCTCGTTTCCAAGCCTTACATTGCCCTTTGGCCATGAACTTGTAACACCCTGGATGGAAAATACAGGAGTCATTCATGGCCTTTTCTAGAAATCAAAAGGCAGAGAGGAAGGAAAGAAAGGCTGGGTAAGTTACCTGACCCCCGAGGCTCTTTGCCTAACTGTGGGATGGAAACTCTTTTTCTAAGTGAGGAATGTTGATCAGATGCCTATCCCTTTGGTTCCCATTGTGAGGGAACTTTGACCTATTGCCTGCTACATAGTACGTGCTGGGGGAAAAAAAAATCTGTTTTCCTCAATTAAAAAAAATTATGATGTTTATTTATTTATTGTGCAGGTGTGTATATGTTTTACAAATGTTCCAAGGCATGAGTGTGGAGGTCAGAAGATAATTCTTGGGAATGAATTCTTTCCTTTCATTATATGGGTCATGTGGGGAATCAAACTCGGATCACTAGGCTTAGCGGCAAGCACCTTTACCTGCTGAGCCGACTCACTCGCCCTCTCCTGTAACTTGAGGGTTTCCAGAGTTGTAGGAGTCCTTGCTAGTTTCTGCTTTGGTGCTAAAGAGGGACCTGGTGTTGCTGGGAAATGGGACAGAGACACTACACTTCTTCCCGTGTTTGCTGTCACGACGTACAGAACACGCTCGTCTACCAGCTCCTTTTGGTTGGTTTGAGCGGAGCAAAGACAGAGTAATGTCTCTAATAAAAGCCTAGAGACGTTCTGTGGTGTGGGGCAGGGTGCCGCGGAGGACTTTCCACGTGTGCCTCGGTTGTTCAGTAAGTGATGGGCACAGCAGAGCTGGCTGCAGGCTTTCCTGGACTCTACCCCGGATTGCAGGGGCTTCACTGGGTTCTTAGACTCCCCTTCTCGGTCCCCTAATTAAGATCGCTGACTGTGTGTCCCAATCTGTATTAATCCCAAGCAGAAACCCTCTCACACCTGTCAGTGAAGAAAAAACTCATTCTGCCCCAGGAGGTAGAGACATGCCATTATACAGAGGAGGGGACCTGAAGGACATCTGTGCACTTTCTGGGGTGATATTGATTCCAAGTTGATCCCTAGAGTCCACGGAGAGGAGGGCGTGACTTGAGTTTGAGTTTTGGTTCTCGCAAGGCTTCTACAAGGCTGTGTCTTTCCCTGCTGCCGTGGCTGTTCCGAGTCAGGGCCCAGAGCTCTCTCTTCTTCCTTAGGTACCAGCAGCTGGAGGAGGCATCCGCCAGCCTCCGGGAGCGGATCCGACACCTGGATGACATGGTGCATTGCCAGCAGAAGAAGGTCAAGCAGATGGTTGAGGAGGTAAGCTCTCACAGAAGCCTGGGACCCGGGACAGCTTCCTGTGGTGGAGAAGAGATAGCACTCTAGCTCACACGTGACTCTGCCCGGGCCACTGTGGTCACAGCCCAGAGGGACAGCTCCCCTTGTGTGCTGTGTGGACCAATGATTGTTCCCTTCAAAGGAGGGTTTTCTCTAGACCAGAGTATTGGCCAGGTGCAGTTCACAGTGCCCACACTCTCCAAGGACAGTGGCACCACATGTGAGTCCTGTAGTTTAGGGGACAAAAGGTGACAGAAGGTGACCTCAGCTCAGGCTTCTGAGTGCCTCCCAAACCCACCCTCTTCTCCCCAGCTGCTGCGCCCTTTCTCGGCTCCTGGGTGTCCTCTGTCCTTCCCCTTTCCTTCCTTCCCCATGATGCTCTGCTCCCTGTGGCCTCTCTCCTTCCTCTCTCTTGTTTCTCCTCCATCTTCTCTCTTCTGCATCCTTCCTCTCCTGGGTGATAAGAAAAGTTACATATTTAATCTGCTGGGGATTTATTTATCATTCTGTTTTTTTCTAAACAAGAAGAAAAGCAGGTAGGTTGAACATTTAGTTCTCTAAGAAGAAAAAGAAATGATTTTGACTTGGCTTATTATGGTCTGCCCTCCCTTTCCTGTGATAAAGAAAAATCCATTTGTGGTTAAAGCTGGCCACATGTCATTGTAGATGTTTCTTACTTAATTGAAAAATTGATAGGATAGAAAAATAACAGGAACTGTTAGGAGAATATGTAAGTGAGGGTTCCAAGAATATCAAGGGTCTAATTCTTTAGCTTGAAGAATAAAGTCAAATGAATTAAAAGTTTGGTTGGCAGAAAAAAAACCAGGAAAACTATTTTACTTACAATAATCACTACTTTAAGATATGTGTCCATTTTATGTATGACTCTGTGTGTGTGTGTGTGTGTGTGTGTGTGCGCGCGCGCGCATGCGCGCGCGCACGCACTCATGTGCATGCATGTTCCATGTGTGTGTGCATGTGTGTGGAGACCAGGAGACAACCTTGCTGTCTTGCCTCAGGCACCATTTACCTTATTTCTGGAGACAGGGTCTCTTACTGGCCTGAAGCTTGCCATTCTGGCTGGCTGGTAAGCTCCAGGAATACTCATGTTTCCACTTCTCTGGGGCTGGGATTACAAGTGTGTACCACCACACCTAGCCTGTACCACCACACCTAGCCTGTACCACCACACCTAGCCTGTAC